GCGTTACTTATTTTAAATAAAACATTTTTTGCTCCTTTTAAAAAAAAAAAAAAAAAGTAATTTTAAAAGAAAATGATATGAAGTTGTGAATAGTGTTCTGTAACTGTAAATGTAACTGTCGATCTGAATATTTATTAACTTGTTTGCTGTATTAAAGTATTTTAATTGATAAATTAATAAACACAATTTCTCGTACCATTTTTATTATTATCCTTTCGTTTAACTATTTGAATGGTTTATTTGCAATGTGATGTTTAACATAGCCTTAACAAAGACCTCAATGTTTTAATTGAAAGAGTCCTTTGAGGCTAAGATGACTGCCCGTTCCATTTGCTGACCTTGGGTTACCTTTCCATGAGTGGCTCTTTGACCTTTGTGGCCCTTGGCTGACCAAAAAAGGAAGCCATGTGACGACCGCAAGCTTTTCCCATTAGACCTGGGTGGTGAGGACCCCAAGGGTTAGAGACAGATGAGATTAATCTGAAATAGGTGCCTGAAAAGCTTTATTCATGTCAGATATTCAGAAAACTTTAAGCAATGTAAGTAACATGAGTAAACTGGCTTAATTCGGTTTCTTCTTTCAAACTGTTTTTAAAATAACTTAACTTTAATTGCATGTTAATCGTAGCGTAATTATAATCACGGGCGTTGTTTTAATTATGTGCTTGTAGTAAATTTTTTTTTTTAATGCTTTGGATCTTTGTAACGTTTTATAGAAAGGGGATTGAATTTAGACTAGCGGGTGGGTGAATTTTTAATGTATTTGCGATCATACGGGGCAGAACAGTTTTCGTCCGGGATGTAGCGAGAGCGCTCCAATTCCCTAGTTGAAGTACTGCTGTCTGCTTGTCACCTCCTAAAGGTGGATATGGTTATAGAAGAAGCGGAAGAGATAAGTACGGTCCTCCTACCCGTACAGAATACAGATTGATTGTGGAAAATTTGTCAAGCCGCTGCAGTTGGCAAGATCTTAAGGTATGGGGCCCCTTTCTTTACCCTCTCTCTATGAAAGAGCACAAAGGGTAAAAAAGTTAGCTTCCGTTTCAACAAGGAAAAACGGTATACGCTTGTGTTCTTGACTCCAACTTGTTAATAAGTCGGTGTGCTCCTATGCCTACAAGCAGATTTTGGAAGTAATACACACAGTAAGTCAATGTGGAAGCGTATTTGCATATATAAAATCATTAATGCAACGTTGGGAGTTGCAGCCGCAGACTCGGTGCCACGGAGGGAATAACTTTTTTCTTTAACACAAACCAACATCACGTACAGATGTGTTTTATCTTCTCTTTAAGCCCTGTCAAAACACTTTAATCGTGCCAGTGGTAGGAGTCACTAGAGATGGAGGAGTTCGCCCTTGTCACTTTGGATTTTACTCATCAACTTGCAAGGTGCTAGAGCTGTTTGGAAACGATAGCATCGTTCTTGCACAGCCTCTGTTAGAATTTCCACACCATGTAAAGCTGTTTTAAAGAGAGTTTCAGGGAAAGGATGCTTCCAGAATGAGCAATCACACCAAACCTCTGCCAAAAGCTAGTATTTTCTCCCAAGTCTGAAGGAGTGGAACGGGATTCTCGGCAGGGGAAGCAGTGGGTAACGCTGCGTAGCCCCCACTGCCTCCGAGTACGCTGGAGGTGAAGCGTTGGCTCGTGATTATCTGCATCGGGGATGGGGGCAGGACAGGGAGCAGAATTTCAATAGTGGGTGCAAAAAGATAGTGTTTCCTTATCAAACTTGGCAGCAATGGTTAAAAACACTTGTTCTTACAGGAACGCTTTCTTTTACGGTTCTCTTTTAAGGATGTGTAAAATTTGTTCTAAACAAACTTTGACGTAGTAGAAACTGGTCTGTAATTGAATATGTAACGCTAGTTCAGGTACGTACTGAGATGATTCTTCAAATGTCTCCTGTTGTTAATGCTTCACACCATCAATAGCTTGTCTTTGCTTCTGGTATTAAAAATTGTAAGTAGAGCATGGCATGATTAATCCTCTACTGGATGCGTTGCTTTTTTTGGAATAGCTTTCCTTTCAGTGTACTTAAGGTGGGAGTAGCTGGGTTGAAAACAGACCGAATCGGAGTTCTGTGCCCCGTTTCCATTGCAGCCGAAGCCCGCAGCGGCTGAAAGCCGGCCCCGGCTGACGGCTCGCTCAAAGCGGGGCGGAATGGCCCTCCCCGATCCACAGAGGTGTTCAGTCATCGAAACAGAGAGGCTGGGAAGCATGAAGTGGGAAAATGAATTGAGCTTTTACTTGTGTAGGGGTTTCTTCCAGCAGAATGATGAGATCTGTTACCTAGGCGGAGGGCGAAGGGAGGCCTGCTTGCCTGTAGTCTTCTTGCCTCTTCATATTCAACCTTTTGAAGTTTATCAGCTTTCCCAAGCTACCTTTGAAAAAATGATTTGGAGAGCAAGCATTTTATTTCTTTAATCGCTTTTGTAATTTGAAACTTATCATAGTCCAGAGCATATTCGATATTAGGGTCAGGATGGGAGACCTTAAATTATCATTTGGCTCAAAACTGTCAACACCACTGTTGGTTTGCGGTACCACCACCGTGGTTCTAATCGCACAAACTCTGTGAAATTTGGCTTGCTCAGAAACCTTGGCGTTAGCCCCGCAAACGCTGTTTGGTTAAAACCCTTGCTGACATCCGTGTGAACAGAAGAGGCTCAGTGAGCGTCGTTGCAGAAATGAGCAGGGTCAGCCTGCAAGCCTGGCTCTGGATTCGAGGCAATGGTTATTCTGTCCTCTTCCTCTAGGATTATATGCGTCAGGCAGGGGAAGTGACATATGCAGATGCACACAAAGGAAGGAAAAATGAAGGTGTGATTGAGTTCAAATCCTATTCTGACATGAAAAGAGCCCTTGAAAAGCTGGACGGGACAGAAGTAAATGGCAGAAAGATTAGATTAGTGGAAGACAGACCTGGATCGAGACGGCGCCGCTCTTACTCCCGAAGCCGAAGCCATTCGAGGTATGTCTCTCTATAGTGTAGAGATCAAATCTCCAGGCTGAATCTGGCTGCAATTATGTGAATACACAGCAGGTTCCACAACACCTTGGAAGTGTTCAGAGTTCCCAATAAATCTGGTTTTTGAGAATGTATTAGTTACCTGCAAGTAAGCAAGGGAGATGAGGCCTCTGTTCAGAGGCATCTTCCTCGGTGAACGGGTGTATCCGCCAGCTGAACACCTGACAGCGTGCTGCTGTTCCTCCCAGCTGCATCAGGTCCGTCGTCCCTGCTGTCTTGCAGGAGAAGGCTGCATGGCAGGCGGAGCTGTGCACGCAGAGTTTAACAGAAGGTGCTGTTAGCACTTCAGCTCTGAACGTCGTGTTCTGCTGAGGGCACCATGACGAACAGTTCTGTCTCAGCTTGGAAACCCCCGCCCCTTCCCTGTTTCTGAGATTCGCTGTTTCGTTGTACGATCGAGAGAGCCGCTTCAGCACGCAACACCGAGTATTTTCCCCTTCCCATTCTGGGGTAGAACTTGTTGTCGCAAGAAAACTCAGGCAAATTTCTGCTGTTCGTAGAACAGCTTGCTTAGGAAATCAAAGCCTGAATCAAAGCTTTATCCTAGTGTCTCCCGGGATTCAAATGCTGACTTGATTGGGAAAGTGATTCTCGCTGCTTTATCTTCAGTAAGGTTGCCTGTTTTCTTCCAGATTAGCAACCCTGCTCGCTTCCAGACATGGCAGCAGGGGCTGAGCAGTGGGGAGGGGGGTACCCTGCCTGCAACCTTACTGTGTAACGCTCTCGCCGTTCGGCTGCTTGAAAGGTGCTTTACTGCTACGGGGCTTTACCCGCAGGGGACCGGGGGATCGCAGGCTCTCCACGCGCGCGTGTGCTAATGTTGAGCTGATTGATTTTGTTCCAGGTCTCGCTCTCGAAGCAGACATTCTCATAAGAGCAGGAGCCGCAGTGCCAGTAGTAGTCGCTCCAAGAGTAGATCAAGATCCAGGTATGTCTCTGTGTGGGAAGAAATTAAATGGGAACCATCATCCTAAATTTGCAGTAGGAACACTGTTTTTCTTTTCCCTGCCGTATTATGCACAGCATTTAAGTGCCAGTCAAACCCAAGCCGTGCTAAAGCGGAGCTGTCTCTTGCCTTTGCGCTTTCAGGTCTGTGTCCCGTTCCAGAAGCAAGAGCCGTAGTCGAAGCAAGAGCCGTAGCAGAGGCCAAAAAGAGAAAAGCAGGACTCCAAGTAAAGAGGATAAAAGTAGGAGCCGCAGCAGGAGTGCAGAGAAATCCCGAAACAAAAGTAAAGATAAATCCGAGGGCGCTCTCCATAACAGTGACGAGAAAACAAAGAGCAGGAGCCGCAGCAAGGAAAAGAGTAGGAGCAGGAGTGGGAGTAAGGACAGGGGAGAGATGAGGGAGAGCATGAGGAGCAGGAGCAAGGAGAAGAGTAGAAGCAAAGACAGGGAGAAGAGCATTAGCAAGGCTAGAAGCAGGAGCAAGAGCAGGGATGAGAGTAGGAGCAGGAGCCACAGTAAGGATAAAAGGAAAAGTAGGAAGAGAAGCAGGGATGACAGCAGGAGTAGAAGCAGGAGCCGCAGCAAGAGTGAGAAAAGCAAGAGGCGCAGCAAGCGAGACAGCAAACCAAGTAGCAAGAAGAAAAGGAAGGAGAGCCGCGAGCGGTCCAGGTCAGCCTCCAAAGAAAAGGAGCATCTAAAATCAGATTCTGACAAAAAGGAGGCAAGAGGTGAGGGGGAGGATGCAGCCGCACGTCGGGTGTCCCGCTCCAGGTCTAGGTCGATTTCCAAGTCAAAACCAAATCTCAAATCAGATTCTCGTTCCAGGTCTAAATCTGTTTCAAAGCCTAGGTCCCGGTCCAAGTCTAGATCTAGGTCTGCCTCTAGGTCACACTCCCGATCGCGGTCAAGGTCTCGCTCCAGATCCTAACCTTGCCACGACCACGCTTGGAACGGTTGGAAAAGTCTTTTGTACATGTTTAGTAGTTGTAGCGCAAGTGATTGAAGTAGAAAACCTGTCGATGCTGTATATTTTTAACAACCCTGATGGTATGTCTGTCACTGTGAGCTGCAGCGCTCCCTCCCTGCAGTGCTCTCTGGCGCAACGCTCTTCAGCTCATTTTCTATCCGACAGAAAGGTTCTCTTTAAATATAACTCTTCCCAGAGCACCGAACTTGCCCTCTTTGCCAGGAGGAGCCTTGCAGAGGAGGAGCGCTGCACCTCGGTGGGTCTATGAGGTTGCAGTGGTGACTGATAGGTAGGTACGGCGGCTTCAGCAGTCTTCGCCCTCGAACTGATGCCCCTTGATGTATGCCATTTCGTGGAAGTGCTAAGTCTTAAGTTTCATACTACTTTCGTTTCATATTTTTTGGACTTAAAGTTGTGAATAGCACAGTCAAAAGGAAAAAAAAAAAAAAGGTACTTGCAGTAATCCATAGGGAAAAGAAGTATAGTTCCATATTCTGGTATTGTGACAATATCCTTGTTTTATATTAAATTTTTTTATTTTATTTTTCCCTGTCTTGCAAAGTACAGTGATTCCTGTTTCCATGAGATTTGAATAAAGACTATTTTTGCTTGATGACATTTGGTGGTGGTTCCACGGAGTTGTGTTGTGATTGTCACCGTTTTCTATCGATGGGCGCAGGCTTGCACTCGCAGAGGGGTTACTCGCGGCGAACGGGTCCTTGGTTTAGAAAGCCGCTTCACGCTAAAGGCAGTCGCGCCGATCGAATCCGATCCAGTTGAAATAACTCATTTCTCTAGAAACACTTGTTGTTTGGAGCTTTAACATTGCAGTAAGGAGAAGAATACAGGAGGATGAACCAAGAAGCAATAGTGAAGGTGACGGGCCTGCTTTCCACCGTCCGTGTAAATGAAGCGTGGGGAGCTTCGGCTCCCGTCGCACCGGGAAGAAAACTTTTCGCCAGCTTCACTCGCTCGACGCAAGTCAGCTGAAATCATTGTTTGTCCCACGACGTCTTAGGCGTTAAGCAGCTGATGCTGGAGGTGAGCGTGGCTGGCAGGGAAAGGTGCTTTTCTGCTTTTTCCTTTATTCTGTAGCTCGCCAGTCCAATCGTTTCCTCGCTCGCACCGTCGGCCTTTCTGCCGGCACCTTTGGGAACCGACGGGGGAAGCACCAGGCTGCTTTCACGGGTGGTTTTCTACTCTAGCACACTCGGCAAGAGAAAGCGAAGCCGTCGCAACCGTTTGCTTCTGGTTCTTCTTCGATGTCGTGATCCCTGATGGCGAGTTTGGGGTTTCAGTTGTGAGCCCTGACTTCCTCAACAGGAAGGTGTCGGTCCGACCCAGGCGCGACACGGACGTTAGGCTTGGACAGCGCGAACCAGCCTTCGCTCTGGGCACTGCGCAGCAGCCGCTGTCTGTCTTAACGTCCCCCAAAAATGCGGGGGGGGGGGAATTGTGGTGTGGGGATTTCCAGCCACGGACTGAAGGTCCGGTTCGTGCACGGCCCTTTCCTGGAAGGGAGCTGCTGTGCAGAAACCCCCGTCTGCTCTGAAGCTGCGGTGCCGAGGGGCTCTGCCATCCCACTGAAATTCCCTAGCGCTCGCTCTCCGGCTTCTCTAGTTACGCCCACAGCAATTTGGAGCCTCGGCTTGTCTCTCCTCAGCATATTTTCCAGGAGTTGTTCCTCCTAATAAAACACCTGTGCTTGGGGGGAACCTTTATAAAAGAAAAAACGGTGCAGGACGTGCTCCTGAGGAGCTCTGGGCCTGGGAGCACGGCGCAGGGCCGCTCTGCCGGCGCGTCCCCGGCATCCCCGCGGACATGGGGCGGAAGGCAGGCGCCTCCTAGCAGGAGCTTTGTAGCCGTTCCTGAGCAACACCCCAATTTTAGACTGGGGCCGGTAGCAAATCGCTCAAACTGAGCTTTCCACAAGCTCTTCTGTTGCACGGGGGGCTTTGAATGCAGAACCGGCGTCCCCAGCACCCCGCTCTGCTGGCCAGCAGTGTTCCGAAAAATAAAAGGCAAAACCTGAAAAATAAAAGGCAAAACCCGAAAAATAAAAGGCAAAACACATTTTGTGAGTTCTTGCTTGGTCTGGAGGAAAAAAAAAAAAGGTTAGTTATGGCTTTATCAAAAACTTTTCTTTAGCAACTTTCAAACCGCTAACAATACTCAGGACAGCAGTTCTCGCGGCCAGATCTTAACTTCATAGGTGCGAGTAATTCCGTATAATTTGATCATTTGAAACTTGTACTGCTGTGTGAAAAAGATGAAAGGGCGACAGATCCTAAGAGTTGCTTTCAACACAAACTATTGCCGTAGAGTTGAAGAGGGGTCAGGGCTCGGTGAGAGGCTCAGACTTTATCAAATGTCAGATTGCTACGGCAGCAGGAGAAAGCTCTGCGGAAGCGATATTTCATTTCTTTAGAAGGAAAGGCCTTTTTCAGCTGTATATATTTAGTGCTTTAACATCTTAGGCTCTCGTAGTAACATTTCTAATCCCTTTTGCTGCTTAATCTTAGCACAAAAGCAAATGAGGCTAGGCGAGCTGTTTGCTAATAGGGGATAATTAGCTGAAAAATACCTTTAAGAAAATCTGCGAACGATAAAGTCTCGGCTAAGACTTTAAAAAGCGACTCTGGCTTTTGCTGTCTGGCTGCAAGGCCGCTCCTAATGGAGCGAGCGTGGTTTTAGTGAGCCGGCTGGGAGAAAGGTCTCTCCCCTAAACGCCCGAAGACGAGGCCTTTGGAGGTGGAGGTGGGTGGGAAAGCGTGGGCTGAGGCGTAGATTTGCGTTGTGTGCAGCCAGGGACGTGCCCCGCCACGGGAAAGACAGGCACCCCTCAAGGCTGCGCGGGCGATGCTGGGGGTCCGGAGCCAGCACCCGCGCCGCGGGGAGGTCGCGTGTGCGAACAGGGCCGCAGCGCGGGCGTTTGATCCCGTTAAGTGTGAATTCCCTGCTTTTCGTCCTGCCGTTTTCCAAGGAGGCGACGGATTGTTGCAAACTAATTATCGGGGGTAGAAAAAACAAGTTTTGAGTTAAAAAAAGGCATCGGAGAGTTGGGCAGCCTGCGATCGGCGCCTGTTTGCCCAGGTCTCTGCTGCTGTATCAGGAGGAGCCTTTGGCTTAGCCCTGTGGGGGCAGCTCTTAAAAAATCACTGAAGTATTTAAAGACGCACCTAGAGCACCTGTTTGGAAGCGCTGGAACTTCAGGAGGAATTTTAATTTCTGGATTTCGGTAAGAATTTGGTCACCTATCGGAGACAGGGTCTTCTGCAAAGCCCAGGGTTGCTAAACTGCACCTCAGGCTCCTGCTACCTCAGCAAACCTTGCCCCGAGGCTGCGATCCGGCTGGGTTTGTCCTGAGCACGAGTGACCCCAGCGAGGGGCTGGGGCTCTTCTCACGCTTGACACGAAGCCTGTGCTTAAGCACTGGCTACGATTTGGCTCCGCACCCTCCCGTGCTTCGCTTTACCCCTAAAGGCGCCCAGCTCTGAGCGGGGGCTGCCGCAACGGAGCGACCCCAGCAGCAGCATTACCCCAGCCCTGGGACAAGCTGCTTTCTCAGCCTGCCGACTCCTTTTTCTTTTTTCTTTTTCGGTTGGCTTGAGGCTGCCACATCTCCCATTGCTCAGATGAAGTTAGAAACGAAGCCGGGAACCCGGCCGTGCCACCGCACGCGCGTGACGCAGCTCAGCGCCTGCGCAGCGAGGATGCGGTGGGAGCGACGGGGGGAGAGCGGCTTCCCGAAGAGGAGATTTCATCAGCTGCAACCATCAGGAAGGTGAAAAATTAAACCCTCGCAGCGGCTCTGGGCTATGAGCCGTCCTGGGGTGTCACATACCCCGGTGTCTCCCTGCAGGAAGGTCCCCGTGCGGGCAGTGGGACCAGCAAGTGGCTCGTTCGGGGCTGCGTCCCCGCACGTCCGGCTCTGGGGGGACGCGGTGGTGTTCCCGCGGCGGGGACGTGGTGGGGAGGTGACAGCTGTCCCAAAATCCGCTGAGCTGCTGGGCAAAGCAAGCTCCAACGCCCTCGCCCCACTGGGACTTTCTTCCTCTGCCGTGAAGGCAGCCTTTAGCGACTCAAGCTTTAAAGCAGGATTTAGCACGTGAAAGGGCTGCTGCCGCTGTTTACGGAAGGTATAGAAGCTCGTATTAAACAAAAAATAAAAGGCGTTATTTCCTCCGCCTCCTGCCTCTGTGGAGGGGGTGGCTCCAGCTGCCGCAGAGGCCCTGCGTTTCACCGCAGCGTCCTTGTCCCCGGTGCGCTGCTCCGGCCGGAGGCTGCGTGGGAATGGGCTCCTCCAAGGAAAGAGCCGTGGTCCCCATCGCAGCCCAGCGTCCCCAGCCAGAGGCTGGGATGATGACGGTCGTTGCCTTCAGCCTCTTTGCCTGCGGGTGCTGGTGGGCTCTGTGGGCTGGCCTGGGGGTCCTCAAACCTCTCCTGTCCCAGGGTCCCCATCTTGGCTGTGATCCCAGCATCTCTGCTACTTTTCCAGAACTGAGACACCGCCCCCCGCCCAGCCAATGTCCCTGCAGGCTGCTGACAGCTGAGATGCCCCAATTCCCGGGATGCTCCAGGTCTCATCGCTCCCTGCAACTGCCTGAAAGGAGGCTGGAGCCGGGGGGGTCGGTCTCTTCTCCCAAGCAACAAGTGATGGGACGAGGGGAAATGGCCTCAAGCTGCGCCAGGGCAGGTTTAGGTTGGATATTGGTGCTGAGGGACATGGTTTAGTGGTGGCCTTGGCAGTGCTGGGTTAACAGTTGGACTTGATGATCTTAAAGGGCTTTTCCAACCTTAACGATTCTGTGATTCTGTGATTCTATTCTATGATTCATCCCGAGAGCGCAGCATTGCACCTGCCACCCCTCCGTCACCAGCCCCCCAGCAGGTTGGTCCCTTCCCCGCCCCAGGAGAGCTGCTTCGGGCTGCAAAGCCCTCGAGCACCCTGAGGTCTCGAGCCCAGGGGGTGGCACCTCCGCTCATCAGCCCCAAATCCCCAGCCATCGGCATTTTTAAAAAGGCAAAACAGCAGCACCGAAAATCAAAAGCCTTTTTCCCCACCGCCCCATGCTCGGGGGATGCTGCGGGAGAAAACGGCCGCTGTAACCCAGGCGAGAGGAGCTGCTTGCACCCATTTTGGGTGCATTATGCTAAATTCTTATCTGAATTTGGCAGCTCCGGGACGTGGCATCCAGCAGGACGGCGCTGGAAGGGAGCGCGTCGGGAGTCTTTTTTGTCTTTCTTCATTCCACCCTTGCTCAATGTTTTGTCCAAGAGAAAAGGGAAACTTTGAGGCATGTCTGGAAAGCAGGGAAAACTAGGAACAGAGCCATTTCCATGGCACCTTCTCCTTTTGCTGCGTAATCCCGGGTGCCTCGGAGGGGCAGGGACGATGCAAAGCCTCAGGCCGCTGCCTGCACAGAGCGTGCCTCAGTTTCCCTACCTGTAGGATGGAAATATTGGCTCAGGTCTGTCTGCGCTCCGGTGACGGGCATCATCCCTTCCCCACCGACCCTTCGCAGCAGCGCTGCGATGCTTCGCTCCCCGGTGTAGGGGAGGGGCGACCGCCCCGCGAGCGTGCTCGTCCTCCCCGGCAGGTACCCTGATTTTCAGCC